GGCATTGCTTGGAGCCTTGATTCTCTCCGGAGAAATAGTAGTAATTATAATGCCTACTATTGATATCTTACAATCCAAAAACTATGCAAAAGTTCGTGTACCTGGTAGCATTGGAATCACGTGATTCAATTATTAACAAGTTCTTCGCGATATCTATATTATTTAGTATTAGCAAAGCAATATATCAATATTTCGTATCCCACTCTATCTGTTAATCGCTTTTGGTACAGATACTTTTATGGCGAAATTAGAGCCAAGTAATGGTTTATATTTTCATCTTAAATTTTATAATATGAGAAGCGTCGATAACAAGTTTACATGTGATTTTGTCAAGATCAAAACTTTCGTACTTAATCAGATTTGGGCATCGCGAAGAACGATATATTAGAGGATCTAAAAATCAATGAGAGGTCTGTGTCTGTATATTTCTATAGATTTTGAGAATGTTGAATAGTTTCGTCCTGAACGAATGTCTGCCAATTTCGATCACAATCGCCCTGTGTCCGGAAACATTTGCTCAGAACATACGGTTTGTTAGTGTATGTGAATGCAGAAACTTGAGGTGAAGCCCCTGGAGTTTAAACAGCCCAGGAAAATTAGATGAAAAGACTATTTCTGAATGTATAATAAGATTAAGAACGAGGTTAGAGATCTAGAAGATTGAACTTCCATTGGCAGAAAACACATTCCAAACCCGTTGCCCATAATATATAGAAACTGACGATCACATGCAAACTGTAATACGTAAAAAAGTTGCATGACTATAAATTCGTGTCGAAATTATTATGGAAATTTTGGCAGGGAGGCTGTTTATTTTTCAGTTGTCAAATAATAAGCAGCTACGAAAATCTAAATAACACAGCCAACCATTGATGATAAAATGTTATCAATTGAAGAATACAAACTCAGTTATAGTTAGGGCAGTATTTCGATTTCAATATATAGGACAGAACTTTCTTCAATTATTTGATAAGTCACATGTGTATAGTAATAGTTGATAAAACTTTGGATATAGCAAACTTGTGGTTATAAGCTTTGTTATAATAGTGACTTAATTTCTGGAACTACAATTTGACAAAGTTCACATCATTCTTCGACCTTACATTCTTCAAGTCGTTTCGTGTTTCCGTGCATTTGTTCTTTATAGTCAGTGAACCAACTATCAAGAGCTACAGCGACATGTGTATGAAACTTGTTTATACGGATGGGTTGGCATAGCTCTCCGCGTCCGGCCGGTATAGAGAGATTCCATATACATCGCCGGTATAAACAGAATCTATGGGTTCAGCTTTTGTTGTGACTTTCTAATAAAGTCAATCATGATATCTTTTTTCGCGCTTACATTTTAGATGAAGAATTTTATCAAATGCTTATAGCGGCTTGTTTGTGTAATAGCCATTTAGCGGGTGTCTTGCGGTGCAGTATACGTGAAGTCTTCTTACAAGTAGGGATAAGGTCAGAACTACGTATGCGTTGTGGACAAATAGGGAATGGCTTTGAAATATTACATGCATAATATGAATATCACTGTATGAAATGCTTGTTAGGGTATACCGATAATGGTAATTCGGCCATATCACTATATCTAGTGAGTCGAGCGTGTAACCACATGCTTGACGACTTTTTAGTAACCGCACACATTGCATGGAAGTGTGGATTGCAAAGATATAGGTTAAAGGCTAATTGCGTTTATTCGATATAGTTAAAAGTCGAATCTTGAATATCCTTCTTCGCCGTTACTATTAGCATTACCGCGTTGCTGCTGAGAGGTCGGGAGCCGGGCTTATAATATAACTAGAATACATCGATCCGCAAGGTGTGCAAGGAAGAATATGGCTCGATCGATCGACAGATAGGGGATATGCCCCAACTATATAATCACTTGGAAGTAATTCAAATAACGTCATGTAACAGTATATAATGACAATAACAACTAAACCTCCTTCACTCGAGTCGCTACAACAAAGTTGATGTCTTATTATGAATCTTCCAATCGAGATTCTCTCTGATATATTCAAATGTCTATTATACGATTTCAATGACTTATCGTCTCTACACTCTTGTGTTCTCGTTAACAGAACGTGGTGTCAAGAAGCAGTTCGATGGCTTTACAAGAATCCTTTCGGTTACTATACTTGTGAACATGACTCTCAGCTTATTACAATATATATTTCCTATCTTCCAAAGGAGATGCAGAAGTTGTTTGAATTCACACACCTTGATTTTGACGATCCGGCAAACTTGTTGTTCAATTATCCTGCATATATTGAACACATCGATGATTCTCTGATATTCCACAAGTTAGACTCGTTCATTCAGACATACAATGGACAAGCCACAATATATCAAAAGGCATTTGATGCTATTCTGAGGATGCTTTTAATGAAAGCATCGAAATTAACATATTGTCGCATCACAACTGGCATCTCAACCAAATGCTTCTCTATGTTTAAAGACCAGCTTCATCATGTCCAGATCCTCCATCTGTTTCTAGTGTCTGATACAAAGAATGACAGGAAATCGCTCGAGCAATTGACAGACATTATTTCGTCTCCAAAGGGACTAATCGAGTTCGAGTTGATTTCGCATTATCCGACCCTTTCCAACCGTATATTATATGCATTGGAGATCCAGTGTGATTCTTTGAAAGTACTATTATTACGATCTATAATATTTTCTGCGTTTCCATTATTGGATTGGATAAGCAAATTTCACCATCTTAATGAGGTTTATTTTGATTTTTGTGAGGACATGGGCGATGACGTTATCGAATATCTTGAAAAAAAATCAGTCTCGGTATCAAAGGCTGATTTTCGAGAGATGACAAACAATATATAATACTTCCAATTCATTTGTAAATAGTGTTTTCCTTTCGTCATTTGTTTCTTCATGATGTCATGTTTATTGTGCAACAATGCATAGGATTAATAAATAGAATATATTGCATTCAAATATTAAATTATAATGTTCATTCATTGGATAGTCAACTATCAACACGATCTAACTAACAAATAGTGAACATCTCTTCCCTTTCTTCTCAACCGATGAGCCGGCGTATTTGCTTCAACAAATTCAACGGTTATGTTCCTAGGCACGAAGAAATTCTGATTCCATCTGGATATGTAATCGCGCACTTTGTTAACAGTGATGGCTATCTGCTCCTTATCAACTATACGCTTGACCAAGATATTCCAACCTAGGCAAATGAGTTTCCTACGACCGAGAATCGGAAGTTCTGTAATTGTACGAATTCCAATAACAGAGTTCAACCCTTCGATAAAGCTATTCCAATCCGATGGGTTGATATCGTGTAATGTGAGTTCAGATGAAGGATACTCTTCTTTAAATCCGCTGAGTATAGAATGTCCTTCTTTTGTTAACACGTTGTAGCTGCGAGATAACACTCTTTGCTGAAAAGTCTGAGGAACAGGGCGTGCCCACGTTGATAATCGTTTACTATATGCTTTATCGACGGGTGATGACGTCAGCTTATCGAATAGATTTCTCACGGAAAGTCCATGGTGATTCCCATCGTGGTTGATATGCCAGTCATCTGTGGAAATATATTCACCATAGGAAGGTCGCTGATTACTTTCGTTAACAGGCACAGTCGACACAGCTTCCTCATACGGCGGTGGAGCATCGTCTTCGGTAGGTAATTTCTGTGTCTCTTCTCTCCTGGTATTCACCGATGATCCAGGATTTGCCATCTCTGATAACTTATTGGCTACTCGCTGAGTATGGTTTGAAGTTTCTTGCTCTAGGCATGCGCGAATGAAGTTAGGACTGTAATTTGGGAACATGCGTTGGAGAACTATGGTTTGTTTCTCTAGTTCGCGACGCGAAAGATGCGAACGCCCCTGGTGAGAACAGCCACGAGAAAATGCAGTAGATACAGAATGGGGGGAGTTGTGAGGAGAGCTCCAATTATGAGCCCAGGTGGTAAATGCCCAGTCGGAAAAGGCATCGTGAACGTCGTGATTGCGACGATTATAATGTCTGTTATGATGTCTGTTATGATGTCTGCGTCTGCACATTGTTGCGTGTTAATGAGAGATAGTAATAATAGGTGTTTATGTGATTTCGGTGAATAGAGGTAGCGTTCTCTTCTGTAATTTCGTCTGGATCTGATGGATGATTTTTCGTTGGTGAGAATTCCTCCATTATTTATATTATAGATCTACTGCGCTAGAAACTTCCGGAATTCCGCAAACTTCCATAATTAGTATTTCAATGAGGATAGTTTCTACAATAAAGTAATAGTATTAGTAACACGAACACATCGCCAAGTTCTGGACAAAACAGCAAGTCCGGCAACAGCTGAACCATTGGAGGAGGGGTTCATGCAACTTGCCGTTGTTACACAACCAAGTATAATACACCATTATGCAAAATGACATAAAAGTTATAAAGGCGTAGTGACGATTTGAAATCAAACAGGTTTATTGAGTGTCACTGCATCTAAACCCCGAACTTGCTTGCAAACTGGTTTGATGAACGTCAATGCCCCTTCACCAGGGTTTACAATAAACATATAAATTATTGAATGGAATTTTTTTCTTTGTTTGTAGGAATATTTTTTTTTTCTCCATACGTTCATTCCACTAGTCGCATGATCGTCATCGACATAGGGCTTTTTACATTTACGTCACATCATCGGTACCCAATTTTCCCAAGTATTTAATACCACAAACCTTTTTTCGCCGGAAATTACTCTTTTGGGTTTAATCGTATCCAGAGTCATTCATAAAAAAACCCCCAAACAACAAAACCTGTAGTTTTCACTTGACTGTCTCCAACTGTATTTTAAAAACCGATAACAGAAGTTTTATAGTTCACAATGACTAGCGAAACTACCCCAAGTCTGTACGACATATATTCCTTCTTCCATTCCCTGCGCACCTCTCTACCAGACTACAACGACTTCTCCGATTTGGTGGGCACATTATTCATTCCTCACGATGTGATGCCCGTCTCTGAAACACTCGCAAACGTACTTCCCTACTTTCGCCGTTGTTCCAACCCATCCCTGTTTACGACCTTCCAAATAATGATGCGTCATGCCGAACAGAACGCATCATTCGAAAGTACTTTCTTGCGTGTCTGCGACGCTATGGATATTTTGGAAAAAATCGAGTATGCTCTCGGTGGAAGCAGGAGACTGCTCGACGGATACTTGCACGCATTGCAATTGGACAACGCCTCAGCTAGCCACGAGCAAGTGATGAATAGTTTGCAAAGATTTTTAACCGAAAAATGTGACGCAAACACGCAATTGAGAGTAAGAAAGGTTTTCGCTGAAGAAGGGGCGGCTGATGAGCTTGGTGAGTTGGGTTATGGCATAGTGATCTAATTGATTATCGATGATATTTTTGACATTGAACTATGGCTATGCATGACCCTTTATGGATATGTCGTGTCCCTTATCCTAAACATAATCCAAACCTTTTTCTTTTATCACATCAAAACAGGTCTAAGCGGCGACATTCTAGCTACAGCATCAGCTATTATAGATGATGATGCCCTCTATATCCAAATACTTCAGACGCTTCAACTTAATCATCGCCAGAACCTCTCGTGGGAGGCAGTAATTTCTCGTATCCAAAAGATCGTAGAAGAGAAGAAACCAGCCGTATGGCACGAGTTCTACGCCTTCCTGGATAGTCTGCATAGCGGCAATGTCAATGACTATAACAGTGGTATGTAATGTATTGATTGCGTCACTTGTGTGAATGCATTTATGTCATAGGTATTACGTGTATATAATAGAGGTTAAAAATAGAGGAAAAAAAATAAATAAATTAAATTAAGTTATATTCACGTGGTTATCATAAATAAGAGTAATCTCATCCCTTACTGTTGCAAAGGTGATATGTACACCTCGGAAGATTACAATGAATTCTTAAACGACATGGACGACGACGAAGACGTCACTTATGCTGCCTTCTGCGAACAATATCTTGACGATCAGCCCACCACTGGGGATCAGAATAACGTATACTATATTGAAGACAAACTTGCCAAGGTTCACTTGGATAATGACGAGGATAACGTTGATAAAGAGCAACAGCCTCAGCAGAGAGAGATAGGCGCTTTCTAGAGGAGAGAAGAAGGCTTTAATTTGTTTATGGCATGGGTAAGTGTTGGACTAAGAGTTTGTTGAGCTGGATGGATGAAGAGGATGCTTACCATGTTTACTACTCCCCTACTGATAGACTCGTTTTATTGCTTTGATATCCTATTTACTTACTTTTTTTCTTTTTTACGCAGTACATATTTACTTTTTAAATATAAAAATTGTAAAAATTTATAAAAGGCTTTACAATGTAACATTTTATATATATTTTTTAGGTAGATTAGCTTTTTTCCTTCCTGCACTCTTCAATGTTGTGGGTGTATGCCTAGAGTATTATTACTGCTTTTGCTGGCCGATAGCTTCCGGCGAGTGCTTCTAGCATTGATTACGTTTCTTTGTCTATTAGTTGTTTGCTTTCTTATATAAATGTATATAAAACCCGTCGGTTCCTTCATTGAAGGAATCAATTCTTAGAATATATGGTATGCTTATAAAATGAATGAGATGTTTGTACAACTCGTGCAAGGTGTAGCCAAATTCTTTATGAGGATTATTTTACCCAAGATCGAATTCTTATCGTTCTCGAGCTAATACAGATCATGATGAGATATCGTTAATTGTTACAAGTAATCTCAATCTCTCACCTTTCATAAAGACAAATCATATATTAACGTTGGCCGCTGCTCAGAAGAAAAAAAAAGCGCCATCTAATATTGATTCGGCAAGTATATGTTGGTGTATATTCGGCTAATGTGTGGAATGTACTACATTACGCAGGGTCTTCCTATAAAAAGTCTCACAGATTGACATAGGAATTGAAATTCAAACGTTGAAAACATGGACCCATTTTTCTCGAGTGTACAAACGGGTTCAATCCGTTTCCCTCGAGAAGTCACGGATATGGATGGAAACGTACATGACGTCGTGGAGTTATCAAAAAAATACGTGGTAGTCATCATTACTATCAAAGTAGGTATTATAACATTGGGAATGGGCAATTCTTGATCTAGTTGCAAGCATGACTGTCAATTCTCAATCTTTATTCTAATTCCTAGTCACCACAATGTCCAGTATGTCCACAGCTTCTCAAGAGACTGAATTTTCTTGGATTGCATGACACACCGTCGTTCAAGTTTGAGGATACTTTCAGTAATACTGTTACGACAGTTCCGCGGAGAGATATCGAGGTGGGCTTACGCTTCAACGGGCAGAGGCGGCTTATATGGGATAAAGTCATATTAGTGCTCAAAAATTCGTTTTACGCTGACATTTTTCTGCTTCCCTCCAGTTATATCGCATTCTACTGAGATTGGACGTCTACTTTATAATAGTATGCCCAGGTCCGGTCGATGAAGTGCGACGTCTTCGCAAGATATGCGATTTCGAAGCTTATCCATATCCATTTATAGCCGATGAAGATATGTCACTGGCTACTCAAACCGGTTTGCGGTAAGTTCTTGTCTACTATTCTTGTCTTGTATTCTTGTGTCAAACCAGTAATACGCGTTTGATGACTGATTTTTTTATTCCTTGTATTTCAAAGAATGTCAGAGACTGAAATAGTTCCGGTTATCGCGTATATAGAACAAGCATCGCACACGATCGGCCGGATACGTCTCGGACGTAGTTGGGGACGTTACGGAGACGGCGAGCTGATGACTTATTTGAAAAAACAGAGATTACTACTAGAGAACAAAGCGAGAAGGATTGTAAAGGGAGCGGAGGAAGTTATCGTAGCGCTGAAACGAGCTCGCGCAGCAGAGAAGAATAGACGAATGATTAGGAATGAGAATACAAATTCAGAATCAAGTACGCAAGAAGCAAAACTAGTGTCCCAACATCAATCAAATATGCAACCCACACTACATAACGCAGAAGAATTCCATGTCCGACCGGCATCCTTGCCGACAGAACTCCTCTTTGCCGTTTTCGATTTCCTGTCTGCGAGGGACATTGTCAGAATGGTTATGGCTACTTGTCACCAATGGAGGACAATCGGGTTCGAAGCGATAATACAAAATTTCCGTCAACTTACCAACGAAGTTTCCCATGCATTGTCGTACCATGAACGTGGAACGGAAGTGCACGTGAGGAGTGCCAGAAAGACTACTGTGGATGAGGGTACCGAAGGAAGCAAAAGTCCAGATGAAATTCTTAACGTTAGAGAGTTAGATGGGGTGTTACTAGAGTTGTCGGATCATATTGCTGGTGTCCGACCATTATATATAGTGGATTGGGGAGGTGACGATCTAAACGAAGAGTTATACATGACATGACATTCAGCGAACGTTGAAGTCATAACCGTATAATCACACATTCTTATAGACACTTATATTATGTGCTTAGTGTGGTGTGACATCTATTGTAACAATTAGTAAACAACACGCGACGCGTCAATTTGGGATTGCTTGCATGTACTCGCTACATTCCGTTCTAGTAATATTATTCGGTTTTCCAATTTTATTCGTAAGTTATCCATAGCAAATCTAGTCTTTTGTATCAATCCATTCATACGATTAGACACTTTCCTTGACAATAGCTTTGGACTTCAAACCGAATCGTTGAAAATGATCAAAATTTCTTTTAGGAGATAGTTTATCCATAAATATCCTTGACCTTGTACCAGATCAAATGATGGATTTTTGCGAATTTCTATTGCTTCGGCTTTCCCATTTTATTTCGCCTATTGCATCTTTATTAAGATTTTTAACACAATTAGAGACATACCTATCCCTGTTCTAATTCAAGCTTATCGAACAAGCTCTTGCTAATGGTATTAATGATTTGAATAGAATTTTTTTTCTACTAAGCAGTGTATAAACATGTATTTAATGATGAATATTATATGCTAGATGTTATATTATATGAATAAATTACGGATAAAAATATATTAGCTATGGTACCTAAATTCTAGTAAATGTCTGGCAAACAATAAATCAACAAACAATCGGCACTGGAAGTATTTCAACAAAATGATACATATAAATACACAATAATTTAAAATATACAATAGTAATAGTCGAAACATTGAGTTAGTTCAGCTATCCTATAAAAAAATTGTTGTGCCTTTAATAGAGACGGTTACATCGGATAATCTCGGTAGATATCAAATGTAAAAAAATTTCGATATCTCTCCGCCAGTTGCTAAAATGGTAAAACCCAAGGTTCGTCAGAATTATAAACGCGATAACAAATATAGTTATCCTCAAAGGACGCAAAGTGCGTAGAAAAATATCCATCTTTCATCTTCATCCTCATCGCCGTCTGAGTCCGGCTCTGAATCATCTGATGAAGGTGATTGGGAGGGGGGCCTGTAATTTACGACAACATAGTTCTGCGTTGGAGAAATATTACTTCTTAGGCGTGAGCTAGATTTTGGCTTCATGCCCTCGGAAATTCAAAAAAATTGATATAACGCGCCCATTTGGCGCAAATAAGTCCATAGGACTTAAATATTTATTAAACCATTCAGCTCATTCCATGGATGATCGATTTTTCGTGTCGAATTTCATTAGCATTCTCTGTAATCTCAGAAATTTTTGTCGTCCTCAAGACTTTGCAACTCTCTCCGAAGCCGAGAGAGCCTAGAAGACTCAGCATTTTGACTTGGCTAACTTTCGTGCTTCGGCCTTCCCATCCTTTTGATGGTTTCTTCTGAATTTGTCGGAGCCTTATCTAGAGTTGCAACATTTACGGCTTTCGTCGGCCACTTTTTTTTGAGTAGGAATCAATATACTTACCTGTTTATCACTGAATTTGAAACCATCTCGAAGGCGTCTTCGCGCTGATCCCTCTTTTTATTGTTTGCAATAAGTTTGAGAAATTCTAACAAATATTGAGTAAGTTTAGATGTACCCATCTCTGGTATTTTTCAACAATTTTTGTTGCAGTAGCTGACATTGTAATATTTTTATCAATTCTACGTTATACAGTCGACTCCCCATAATTCGACTCCCATAATTCAACTTTCCCAGTAATTCGATCGACTTGAGCAAGACCCGATTTTTTAATATTATTAAGTACGTCTGTCGTTGATTCGACCTGTGCGTTAATTCGACCGATGACTCCGGAACGCAGGCGGTCGAATTAAAGGTAGTTGACTGTACTCGGTTTGTTAGTATTAGGTTATATACTATGGGAAATATTCCTTCAATTATCAGGCGGAGAGTTCCAGGCTTTGCCTGTTCTGGATGAGAATATGTTTGTCAAAAAACGCATCAGATTTTTCTTATTATACCAGAAATATGTTTATACTATATATTGTTAATCTTGTCAAATACCTGCCCTAGTAACTGTCTACTTGAAGATACGACAAAAGTTGAACTAAAATCAATATATTGACTTGGCCTGTATATCGACATTGCTTGAAATGTAGGCGCGTACGTTTGACATACTAATTAATTGTGCAAAGATTATGATAATTAAACAGACAAGAATATCCTATTCAGGAAACAATACTACAGGAAAAATATGCATCAGACAGGGCCAACATTATTGTATAGAAAAAATAATAATAGAAACGGTACAAATATTAATTACGTAGTGGAGAAGAGAATGTTGGATATTGCTTGGTGGATGTGAAACAGCCTACTCTACTGCCTGTATAAACAAATTTATTCACAATTTTAATATTTCTTAAGGTTAGATGAAGGATTCTACGCGCCATTATCCGTCAGAACTCAATGGGGTTTCTGCATGATCCAAATAAAAGTATCTGGATATTCCACTTGCATCGTTCATGATAGGCTAAACATGAGAGTTCTTCTCATCATCGCCTCATTATGGGCTTGTATGATCAACGATTTGGATTATACGAATAATTATACTAGCCACTACGCATATGACCCGCCATGATAACCACATGTCTAGGCAAATATTCCCGAACCCACGTATTTCTTCTAAGATTCAGGAAAGCATAACCCACCGAGCATAGAGCAACTAACGTTTAGCTAAGCTTTACGTTAAATTCTATATACTCTTTCTTAGTTCAGTGTATGAGATAATAACTCCTTGCTAAGCGTCAAGTATTACCTTTCTTAACAAACGATAATTGTTTTTTCAAACTAATATTGTTATTTAATTTCTAACCACCGTAGCTACAGTGAGTTCAAAAGTCGATAAACATAAATATTTAGCCATAACTTCGACAAAAATTGTACTATATTACACGATTAAATACTAAGTATCCGATTTGTTATTTTGAATAGTTCCAATTATTCACCTTTCATTCCTTGCCATGCATAATATTTTTTGATATGAGTAGGAATCTACTTTATCAAAATTATGCACAAACTCATCGAAACTAATCTGGGAACTTTACATTTCATGTTTTCCCGAGGCTTCTAGATAACATTAATTGTTATAAATAACTTATTGTATGATGCTTCAATACCGTACATAGTATGAGATTTAAAATTTTAAGACCTGTACTTGCAATTGTGTCTGTCCAAGCAAGTTTGAAACCAATATATATTGTTGATCAATTGGATAGAATAATGTCTATAGTTTATGTCAAGGGATTGTGTAACGTGGGTATATATGGACATTGAGGATGACGCAGCCTTCGACAGGGAAAACAATTGCTATTAATAGAATATGTCGATCACTTGAGGCGTTTTAGTTTGTTGATTTTTTAAGCATTATAAAAGTTGTAGTAGTAAGGTTGACAGTATTTATAACTTTGGTAATGTTGTATGTCAGTGAAGTTGTATTGGAAAAAGACGAGCGGAGACAATAGAGCTTCAGATAATGCAGGCTCCTACGTAGAAGTACAGAAGATAAGTTTGGAGACTGAATAAATTGCTTCAGACATTAGGACACTCGCTTACTTATATTGGAACAACATCTTCGCGTTATTTCTTTCGTCGACTTTTTGTAAATTTGTCTTGGTTATTTTTTTTTTTTTTAATTCTCTTTTTAGTGGTGGAGCGGAGAAGATGAAATTAGTGATCATGAAGGTGGGAGTGCAGTTCATAAAAGTCTAAAGATCACGGGACTTGTTTGCGTCATATTTCCTCAACTAATATGTATTGCTTTATTTTCCCCTGAATGCTTACAATATGCTCGGGGCAACAGATGGGTGATTTGAATATCAGTCTTACAGCAGTTACTTATTATGGAATGTATTTATCCATTCAGACGAAAAGAATGTTTCTTCGATCCGCGATATTGAAAAAATCATTGAAAAAGACCTTAACCCAAGAACAATAAATGTATTATAAACGTTGTTGTTGTTAGTATTTGTCGTAGCCAGAGGTTAGGAATGGTACAGAAACATTTTCCTCGTTGTCCTCTTCTTCTGTAGAAGAAAAAATAAATAAACAATTTCCTATCGATCACCAAGTTACGACTTTCTCATCAATTAATATATATTTAGTAAGCACTTAATGCGGGAGGCAATTATTTCACCGGCAATTATTCCTCCGACAAATATTTACCAACATTATTTCGAAGTTATCCTCTTTCGGTAGTTGATTGTCGGTGAAATGATACAGACCCCCCTTAATGCAGAATCGATCGAAAAGTTTCTTGTTGAGATGTGATACTGTTTATATGCTATCATTAAACAATTCACAATAAATATTAATATTGACCTTATGTGAAATTGTATTATAGTATTATAGACCATGCAATTCGTTATTACAACCAATCACTATGCTAATTACGTATATAAAGCGACTAGTAGTCTATACAAAATCTTTTACTCGGAATAACGATGTTACTATCAAAATATTAAAAATGATCTCGAAGTTCAAGAATGTAATAGTAAAACAATCAAGAAAGAAGGGAATACATATAAAAAGAACTGAGAAACGCCAAGCAAAAATTACGCCATGTGAATAATTATAGTAGTAGTGACATCCAAATGTGTAAAAAATAACGACGAAGGCCGTGTTAATAATTACCATCCCTATTGCTTATAAAAGGTTGCGACTATATAGAGGGTTTTTCTATAAGTTCAACAGTAATTGATTTTCAAACATGATGTGCTTATAGAGGGGGTGACTATAAAGAGGGTTGACTGTACGGATTTAATCATAACGAAACATTGTTATAAAACTTTGTTAGCTTATCAATCTTAATTAATTATTCCAGAAATGTTTAGCTTATGACTTTGAGTTGTAAGCTTTTCCTTTTCCGACAATTTGAATGTTCTGCATTGCAAATTCCGTAGTAGACATAAACAACATAAAAATAAATCGTGCCTATAACATGGGTAGTTCAGTTTATTGTTACGTGCATCGATATGTTTACCTCAATAATTTAAAGTAGATAG